AATAAATAAATAAGCTCTGGCTTTTGCTACATAAGTGCGTGACAATTAAAATAGGGGGAAAGTTAGGCTATATGAAAGATACATGCGATTTAGTCCATGGAGCAGTAAATGTTGTGTGTCATCAGGTCCCCCTCCATGGATACTTCATCACACAATGCAATCAGCTGTAGAGGGGTACTAAACGTGATTAAGGCTTTCTGCACGAGCTATAGCAGTGATTTTAATTCAGACATACACCATGTGCTGAACTCCTCATTAGCCCTCTCTTCATCTGAGGTTAATTTACACTATGCCATATAACCTACCTGGACTATACAGGACTATTATTCTCTTTTCCTAATTCACCCAACATGAACAAGCCTGCACAGTGCACACTGTTTACTGAAGTCTATTTTAAAGTTGTGACAAATGGATGAATTGTACATATTGGAATGTTTTGGAGTTTTTTTTTAACTTCCACTTAATTGATCGACTACGAGGTCAACTTTTGTGATGATTAACTGACCAAACAGGACTGATCTGTAATAAAGGCGCAACAGAAAGTTCCAGATTGTTTTCTAAAGCAGTGAGTGACTGAGAGAGACACGAGAGAGGTAGACTGAGAGTGAGAGAGAGAGAGAGAGAGAGAGAGAGAGAGAGAGAGAGAGAGAGCAGACTGACACAGGCACGGGTATTGTACTGATCGTGCTGCTTGCTACTTACGTGTGAAACTTTATTTCCTTGACAGCTTTGCGTCCAAAAGAAGCGACCCTTATAGTTCAGCGACTTCCGACATTCCCAGTGAGCTCTAGCAAAACCCAGAGTAGCCTGAGGGCATGTGAAGCCCTCTCTGGAAACTCATCCCATCCAGCTAAACGGCCTCTGATGAGTTTTTGACTCGCGCTAAAAACGCGCATCCACTCGGGGATCAGGCGCAAACCGACGCGAGCCGAAATTCCGCTCCATATGACATGGCGCACACCTCTGAAGAGGCTAACACCTTCACCAGAAATTCTTTTCCCACTGCGCCCTCTTGGTAAATCATCCAAATCAGAAAGACTCCAACATGTTAAAGTTGAGATCGTTGTCTAAAAAAGAAAAAGAAAGAAAGATTAAAAATACAGGTCAGTGACGCCGAACCCGACTCTTCCCGGCTTCTGATGTTGTCCAAACGGCGACTCAGTAATAAGACGCTGTGTATATGGCAGGTACTTGAGTTAGCGACGCTCTCCTGTAAATCTTCAAGCGCAATCGCGTACGGAACCTGTGCGATCGCCGTCGAGCCGCCGACTGAGGAAGTGAGCTGGTCGGTGCGTGGGAAACGCCTACTCCCGCCTGCTTTTGCGCTCACTTTACGCACCGCTCCGACTCACATCTGTTTGGCCCTTTAAAACTTTCTCTGTGCAAAAGAGGTGGGGGGGAAATCACGGCTGCAAATTTTGATAGCCCCGTGAATGATTAGAGCGCAGTTGGAAATGAACTGTAGGATCCTGAGATCTAGGACATGTCTTTGGGGACTGGAGTGTTTAATATCATGCGAACAACTGTTGTTTATCAACTCGCTGTAGCAATTAAGCCTGGTGTGTTGTTTTCACCCTTTAATATGGGATTTAAGTGTTTACGAGGACATTTCAGGCAAGGACATTTGCTTTTTGTTTATGGATGACTCGAATGATGGAAGCAAAGATTATTACCATAATATGTGCGTTATAATAACTTTTGCGTTCATTTTTTATTCAGTGACATTCAAATGAAATGGAATTATATTGATATATAATGCCTTGAATATTTTGTTTGGTATAGTTGAAAGTGTGCAATGAAAGCGCGCTTAAGCTGGAAAAGAGCGGACACACACACACACACACACGCGCGCACACACACACGCGCGCACGCGCACACACACGCACACACACGCGCGCACACACACAGCTGCTGAATCTGCAGCTCCCTCTGGCGAACCACGAATACTAGAGGCGCACAAGGCTTTCGCAGTCCAAACACCTGAGCAGTTCAAACTTAACGGCTAAGGGCCCGATGCTCATAGCAACCAGGACAATCAAGGGTTGAAGTCTTATATGATATAAAATCACGTCAGATGCAGATGCTCGAAATACCTCCAGATACAATGAAACCCATGCCTGAGACCAATAGTTTGCGCTGCAATATGTCACATTCAGATTGATCTCTGTTTGCACTCTCAAATCAGGTTTCTTTCATGACAAGAGATCTCCCTCTCCCGTAAACAACAACAACATTATATTGTTATTATTATTAATATTAATAGCATAACCATAATAATAGGGCACACGGTGGCTTAGTGTTTAGTACATTTGCCTCGCCTCCAGGGTTGGGGGTTCGATACCCGTGTTGCGGGGTTTCCTCCGAGTAATCCGGTTTCCTCCCCAGTCCAAAGACATGCATGGTAGGCTGACTGTCATGTCCAAAGTGTCCGTAGTGTATGAATGGGTGTATGAATTTTATGTGTATGTGCCCTGCAATGGATTGGCACCCTGTCCAAGATGTACCCCGCCTTGTGTCCGATGCTCCCTGGGATAGGTTCCAGGTTCCCGGTGACCCAGTATGATAAGCAGTATAGAAGATGGATGGATAATAATAATAATAATAATAATAATAATAATAATAATAATAATAATAATAATGGGAGCATGGCGGCTTAGTGGTGAGCATGCTTGCCTCACACCTCTGGGGTTGGGGTTGAGATCCCGCCTCTGCCCTGTGTCCATGGAGTGTGCATGTGCTCCCTGTGCTTTGGTGGGTTCCTCCGGGTACTCTGGTTTCCTCCCCCAGTCCGAAGCCATGTGTTGTAAGCTAATTGGCATGTCCAAATTGTATGTAGTGTGAGCAGGTGTGTGAATATGTGTGCTTGTGCACTGCAACAGTTTGGCACCTCATCACTTCTCACACTTTCCAAATAAAGCACCATTTTTTTCGTTTGTTTATGCAGAAATGAACATGCTTGCATGGTCAACAGTAGTATCGTACTGCCCCGTGTTGTTAGCACACGTATGAACGTGCACTTTGTGTAGAAATGTGCAGATCTGTGTCGTCTCATGTGGTTAGTGTGTTGTTTCAGGTAGCACCATGTTACTGGAGGAAGCTTGTTTCGTTTCACGGTGTAACTGTACCAGCTGTAGGCCTATATGGTTGAAATGACAATTAAAAAAAAAAACCTTGAACTTGAAACAGCAGTAAAGTTTACATTTGAACTGTGATAAAAATGTACCCAGTGCGAGTGGCTTGAATACCAAATGCATAACAAACCTGAAAATATGAAATCATGACCCATGTGTGTGCGGAGTTTGCATGTTCTCCCCGTGCTGCGGGAGTTTCCTCCGGGTACTCTGGTTTCCTCCACCAGTCCACAGACATGCATGGTAGGCTGATTGGCGTGTCTAAAGTGTCCGTAGTGTATGAATGGGTGTGTGAGTGTGTATGTGATTGTGCCCTGTGATGGACTGGCACCCTGTCCATCCTATCCATCCTGCCCGTGTACCCGATGCTCCCTGGGATAGGCTCCAGGTTCCCCCGTGACCCTGAAAAGGAGTAATTGGTATAGAAGATGGAGATGGACTTTATTATTATAAAGTCATATAAAGTTCTACAACCCTACTGTACAAAAATAATCATTTTTATTGTGCATTTTCCAAAACGTCTAACTTTCCGAGATCATTCAAACTTAGAACACAGACTTGACTGATATCCGATAAGACGTTCAAACAATTCCATCGCCTATGTATTGCGCGCTCAGGGGTGTCTGTTTATTTCTCCGCTTCACGGAAGTGACGTCATGCTGTCAACATGTAAGATGGCGACCCATCACAGGCAGAATGCTGCCGGCCGGAGAAAAGTGCAGGTACATTTCCACTTTCACGGCGTTGTTTTACATGTGCGTAGACAAGCGTGTGGTGCAGATTGTTGAAGGTCATGTCTGCGGAGCGTTTCTCCACGCTGTGTGTGGATTAAATCATCAGATCTGTGTACAAACCCGAGCCGAGTCTGTGAGCTCGGGCTGTATCCCACATTACCGTCTGCTCTCTACATGCGTGCACTATATAGGGGATGAAATAACACCTTGTACTATATACACAAGTGCACTATCTAATGAATTGGCTGCTATTTGGCAGCCCCTGATTACGGACTCGGGCGCTAGCTCAAATATTCACCTAGCATACTTTGTTCCAGTGATTTTTACTGGCTCGTATTTGGGTGGACCTTGTTTATTTTTATTTTATTATATTCCTTTATATAGAAATAACGCGTGCTGTTGAAGGTGTAGTAGATGTATCCAGTTTGTACATTTGTTGTGGTTTTTTTTTATCCGATGTGGGAATTTAATTCGCTAGCTCTCTGCTAAGCTAGAGCCAAAGCTAAGACCACGCCCCCTTCCCCACTCATCACTGCTGTAGAGTTACACTGTGCTGTTTCACAGATCGTCAATTTAAACGTATAATAACGATTGTTTCATTCACAGAACAATCAAGACACGTCTCTCAAACTACTAAAATTTGGTCACATTTTGTGAAACGTAAACCAGAATGTACGTGTGCCGTGTTTTTGGGCTGTCGTAAAATTGGCGTAAAGTGCATAAGTGTCCATTAAAAAGCACGGCAGGGGTTGAATAATATCTAGTCAGTATTTATATTGTAATATCTGTCTACATTTCCCTGGCGCGTTACTGGACAATGTTATGAACTAATTGGTATGTGTAAACCTGGATTTTTCTCCAAAAACCCAAGAAAGGTGCAGGGAAGTTCAAATGACAGACGTTGGCTTTATTTAATGTCCACGTTAAACTCCATGGCATTTACAGTTCAATATTATTTTACACAATTCTGGTTAAAAGTTTAGTAAGCAGACTTAAGTCACCATTCGACTATATCATTATATTACATTACAGCATTTGGCAGATGCCCTTATCCAGAGCGACTTACAATTCCAATTTAGACACACTGCGCCATTGAGGGTTAAGGGCCTTGCTCAAGGGCCCAACAGGAGCAGCTTGGTAGTGCTGGGATTTGAACTCTCAACCTTCCGATCAAAAGTCCAACATTTTAACCGCTGAGCTACAACTTCCCACTTTCCCAGAACTCAGATAGTGCAAAATCACATCATTCCTATTTGACGCAGCTGTGAATGTCAAAGAGAACAAATTAACTAGAAGTGTGCAGGTTTATGTGACTGGAATCTCAACAACAATGGTAAGCTATTATGGCATGATTAGGAAACATCTGGACTTGCGTTTATGAAACACGAAGGACCATGCTTTGTTGTGATTCTCAGATCACTGATGGGTTTCATATCACTACTGTCCTAGGCATGTGTCTGTTAGGAGGACGTGTGCATGTTCATTTGGGAAAGCTTACCATAGATTGTTTTAGCATTGTAGTATATCCAGTGAGTGTATTGTTGCTATATTTCTCTTAAAAGGGAGATTTATCTTTAAACTTACCCTGTCATAGAGGAAAGCTTTGTGTTCTTAGAGGTGGTATGTTTTTTTTTTTTTTTTTTTTTAAAGAATTTTTTAAATTTATATTTCATAAAACCAAGTTCAATACAGTGAGTTGTGAGTGAGAGTATTTGGTCTTTGTCATCAGCAAATGTTGCTTTACTCTAATGCTGGCATTCATTATCAACATGACAATGTGGGGGCTGTCAAACTGGCAGTTTAGTCTGAAACTGAGCACGGTTTTCATGTAAACTTGATCATGTGAAAGCCGTCCGGTTGCACTGGAACTGTGCCACGATTCCTGTGAATGTCAATGCAACTCAAACTCGGGTCCGCACTTGTTCAGGATGTAAATTAACCCGTGCATGTGTGTTAGCCAATGATGACATCATAGGTTTCCACAATACAGGTGTACAATGAATGGCAGGGAAATGTGGGGCACAGAAGAGGTCCACTGCTGTGCATAATATCACCAAAATAATAAAAAACAATGTTAAACAATACATAAAAAACATATGTTGAGTCATGTTGTGCTCGCCATTGCGCTTTTATGATGATGTTAGATGGACGCAAATGCACAATAGAATCATCCGAGTCTGAAACCAGACCAGCGCTGCTCAGGACGCTGGGAGCAATCGCCCTCGGCTTCGGACCGCAGCAAACGTGCTCAGTGTAAAATCTACCTATAACTTGGAGAATTCGGGTATAATTACTTACGGATTTCAGCTGGTTCCTTGCCTTGCTGAAACTGATCCAAATACCAATCTTTTTTTAGTTTAAGCTTTAATCAGGAGGTCCGTTATAAACAGTTAAATGTGAGCTCTCCGCTCATGGTCACTGTTAATTGAGTTAAAACCATAACAATGAGAAATACTGTTGGTTATTTGATAAATAAACAGCAGAAATATTTATTTTTAAATATCTTAAACAATAGAGTCCTTATTAAAGTAGACTAACACAAAAAGGCTTATAGCTTTCTAAGGAGATGGAAAACTTAGCTTAATGTCAAATTGATATTAAATGCAACCCATAGTAATTAAACATTATTTCATTTCTCATTTTATTTATATTTTATGAAGTTATTATGATTGGCGTATCTAAAGTGTCCGTAGTGTATGAATGGGTGTGTGAGTGTGTATGTGATTGTGCCCTGCGATGGATTGGTACCCTGTCTGGGGTGTACCCCGCCTTGTGCCCGATGCTCCCTGGGATAGGCTCCAGGTTCTCCCGCAACCCTGAAACAAGGAGTAAGCGGTAGAAGATGGATGGATGAAGTTATTATAATATCTATTTTTTATATTAAATGATTTATTTATAACTAAGCATATTTTCTGTCTTTACATTTAGTAGTTTTATTTTTGTTTGTTTATCAGTTTTAGATTGGTTCCCCCAGTACAGTGTCCATGTCTGCTGATAATATTATGTTTTGGGAAGATTTAAATCAAAACATGGAACCTGGAGTTGACTTTCCTAGTGATTTCTGGCAACCGTGAGTTTAAATGAAGTGAATTAGAGTTAGTGAAGGAGAGCTGCAGTGTACTGTATGTTTACAGACCGAACAGTTGCTACTCTTGATTATGAATGGTGAGGAATTATTGAATAAAGTGGTTTGAATTAAAACCCACCTTGTAGTGTTAGCATTATTATTAATTTACTCTTCTTCTCTGCAGTATTTCCACACTTGTTCGGGTGACTGAGGAGATGTGAGCAGTGTAAAAGTAACTGTTGCTCGGTGTAGATGCATTTTGGACGTCCTGTAGTTTTTATTCCGATTGTATTATGCAGCTCTGAACAGGTCACTCGCACCGCTGCAAATAAATATTTATTCTCAGTCCCAAATGCGAGTGAAAGGGTCGCATTGTAGAGCCCTGTTTATATTGCCAGATTTCTTGAGTTAATACTGATTTCTGGTGAAGATTTCATGTGAATAGCCTCATTGGAAATATATTTACTGAAAAAAATGTTGATGCGTTCAATACTCATTTCCTCCATTTTTTTGTGTGTGTAATTAAAAGGGGAAAATATATGGATGTATGTGTTTTGCTGGAAGGGTCTAGTCATTATTATGATGTATATTTTTCGTGTCACCTCTGTTGTCTGTGGTTCAGTTGGTTGTTGACAACAAATCAGTCATTGTGATGCAATCTTAGTTTTTTTTGTTTTTTTTTTTACTTTAACAATATTAAGACACTTATTTATTCCCCTGTCATTCACACTGTGAGCAGTAAGGTTCAAATATGGATCTGCAAGATTTAAAGGTGGTGAAGGGGAAGGCCTCAGAAGGCATATGATTTGTGACTTAATACAGAGATTATGATCGTTTCTGCAGAGATTCAAATAGTTTATGATATGAAACCATTTGAATTTGTTTGTGTGAGTATGGGGTCATTTGTTGTCATCTTGCTGTATCATACGTGTGCAGTGTTTGCACCCCAGGGTGCACTTGGCTTTGTGAAATGGCCTTATATTTCTTGCCCATTATGGGATCATGCAGAGGCCTTAAATTGAAAATGATCACTCCACTGAGACGCTTGCCCGCACCATTACAAATGCGTTGTCATGTTTAACAGCAAGCAACAGCCTGTGGATTGAAAACATGCTTGAGGTTTTTTTTTTTTCAAGCAGAAAAACAGCTGGATGTAGAAAGAAGTGAGTAATGCATGACTCATCACATGGTACTTTTTCCTCTTTGCTCAGGCATCCTGCCTTTGTGCTACTTTATACTAGCTTATGTCTGCTTGTGCGTCAGACTCGATACAAGCAATTTCTTGCCTTGAAATCCAGCTTTTTTGAAGTTTATAATCTACATTTTTTGATGTTGTGTCAGAATTGTGATGATTTATGTGGAAAGTTTTGATGTTTTCTTGGTTGTTTTTTTTTCTTCTGCAAACACCTTAGCAGATCTACCCTGTTTTGGGTCCATATTCTTTAAATATTAGCTTTGTCTGTTCCTTCTCTAGTGTCAGTAGAAACGAGCAAATCTGAAGTTTTCCGAACATTTCTTTTCGATAATGTTACCCAGAAATGTCATAAAAGTGACCTCTTTAAAGGGTCATGAAACCTCCCTCTTTCAGCTCAAGTCTACCTCTCAATGTTTTTTGAAAAATGCAACTTAAATGGGCGTGGATGATGTGATGAAGGGAGGGTCTGTAGGCGTGGCAGGGGACGAAGAGGGGAGCGAGCCTTCAGAACGCTCAGGATAAAGATGGATAGTGATGTAGAAGTTTGCAGTGGCGGCAGTACGCATGGCTCTGATGAAGTAGAGGACTTCTCTTCTCCTGAATGCCCAGGGCTAAATGGAGACACAGTAGATAGTAGTGCAGGTCCTCTGCACTGTATATTTCAATAATTAGCCCCTGGCGTGATTATGGAGGAAAACTTTGACGAACCTGAGGCAGCGTGGATGGGAGAAATGTCGGAATGGTAGCTAGCTAATAGACTCGAGCTTTTCACGAATAAAAGGGGGAAGGCTCTTCCCTTCAACGCGGACTCTCATTGCATAGTTTTGCACACGCTGACCGCCAGCCACGTGGAGCTTTAAGCAGTTTAATCAGCGCAAAAAGCAAGTTAAACGGTTTCTGTTTGAACATTATACACATTACTCATTTGAAAGGATGGACAAGCCCTGGCAGCATTGCGGAGAAAGCCACGCAACACACTCGAACTCTCGAAACAAACACTTGCCACCCATTTGAATGCCTCTCTCTTCTGCTACGTCTGTCGTAGGAAAGCACCACATGCTATCATGAATAATTAAGAGACTACGTCTTCTTGTAGGATAAGAACACACAATTTCATGAATAATTATGGGACACAGATTAGTCATCGATGTACTAGAATGACACGGTGAGATTTTAAACCCGAAAAACTTCAAACCAGTTGTCTCCTATTATTAAAATGAACAAATGCTGACATTGTTTTTTTTTTATGATGTGCGATCGGAACATCTATGTTAAAATATCAGAAAATGTAGTTTAGTGTTTAATGATGCTTTAAGTAATGGATTATTTTTCAGATAAAACATAGTGAAGGATGTCTGTGATTGTTTGCAAAAATATAAGCAAGAGAGGCAGACATGTCCATGAGAAATCTGTCTGGCTCTCTGTTATACCTGGAAAAGCTTATCAGCTGATTTCCTTATAAAACTGCTCGAGGGTACTTTGGAGACCTGATGCAGGTTTAAATGTAAGATGTGGTGACACCAAATATCGAAGTGGTTTGCTTTATTATTGTTTATTACTTTATTATACTAGGTCTAATACTGTGCTATATCTTCCTTTAGTGAATAGTGGACTAGTTCAACAAAACAGACTTGAGCGACATAAAGAACTTCCCTTTACTTTCACACTATCCGTTGTTACCCAGATGAGGACCAGTTCCCTTCTGAGTCTGGTTCCTCTCAAGGTTTCTTCCTCATATCATCTTAGGGAGTTTTTCCTCACCGCCATCACCCCTGGCTTGCTCAACAGAGATAAATTCACACACTTAAAATTTGTACCCTGAACCCCCCCACCCCCCCCGCCCCACCAATGTGTCGCAGGTGTCGTATGTGATCAGGGATGAAGTGGAGAAATACAACCGTAATGGAGTTAATGCTCTACAGCTGGACCCTGCTCTTAACCGGCTCT